TTCTCCAGCTCCTCAACCGCGAACAGACATACATAGATATGTTATACTTATGTGGGAGCATCAGGGAAGGTAAATTATTTTAAAGTTTCGGATTCTATAACGACCCATGCCCAAACCAAAACAATCTTGGTTTACACGAAGGGTATAGAAACCGTTCAATCGATTTCTGCTTCCTGACCGGGAAAGTAACCATCACCTCTACAAAAATGCTGTAGACAGATGCTCGCTTTACTTTCAGGCGTATCAACGTTCCCAAGCCATCGACTCGGGCAAAATTCAATGTAAAGCAATTCATAGAAAAACACAAATTGGGTAAGCAGCACATTTCACATTATGAGTTGATTTAAGCTTACAGCAGACTGTTCTCGAAAATCCTCCCACTCAGATTTTTTCAGTGGAAAATCACATGGGGAAGGCCCTAGACTTCGAGAACCCCATTCCTTCCTGCCAAAATTTCTTCAGCGCCCCAGCCATCTTCTACTATTTATGCTGTTCCTGTCCACTGAAGAACTGGTCAACAGGCGCCCCCGTTCTCGCTGTGCGTGGTGAATAGTCTACCGACTGAATTGTAATGGCGCCACTTAACCCACGCGTATTCTAGCGTTGAGAGTAAAAACCATGCAGCCCCATGCAAGAAAACATAAAACAAACCCTTTTTTCATGCCCTTCCATCATTTTTACATTAACCAGTTGATATGAATTCAAACAAAATAGAAAAAAACTGAAAAAACCTAACTGTCGAATGTTAGTTCGCACACGCAAGTCACAACATTCCTCCTTCTAAGGGTCTATTTAGCCATGAAAGCAACCCAACCCATCACCAGCTTCATTTTCTTCATCATCACACTTGGAAGCGGGACCGCCGAGCTCGACGTTACAGACACTGTTTTTGCCCGCGGACATTAGGGTAGGACATTAGGGCAGTACCATTGAAGGCGAGCTTCGCATATTTTATGGGCAACAAAGCTTCCTCCGAAACGCTCCTTTATTGTATCGTTGTAAATTTGGTTTGAATACTCGGTCTCAACAGCCATCACAGCATTTTCGTTTCCGTTGCCACGCAGCACGCTTCAGTTTTCTGGCAAGAGGGTATCCCACATTCACTCAACGATCCTCATGATGTCTTCCTAGCAATAGACCAGCCCCATGGATTGCATTAATGGTGTTGCAACCGAAGATAGAACTGCTGTGGTTGATGGAAGGCTGAACATCGACAGATCAAGGATAAAAATTTTGGCGTTAATCAATCCCGTCTGGTGGATGCGCCCCCGCACTCGACTTCCTTCAGAGTCGTAGTGGCGTAATGAGTGCGTACGTAGCCTATACAATGTCTTGACGTGGCCAGCCGATGTACAAGTCAGTGCTTTTATCCTCCCAGTTAAGACTGGTACCTATTCACCGACGCCGGGGGAATGGAAGGCTTGGTTGGGCTAGGCGGGCATCGATCCGTGATTCGGACCCCTGACCGTGCGTGTGATATAGTGCACCACTAGCCACTACACCACCTCCGCCCAACATCGACAATACCAATATCAACCTATTCCAGGTGATCCAATCGCAGGGAACTTCTTCTTGTGCCAACACGAGTGATTATCATTTAAAGATCATCATCCATCACCTACTTGATAATAACGCATAGAAACCTGAACCTGTCCATTTTCTCTTTGCAATTTTGTCCTTACCAATGACTGCCTTATTGTTTTTGAATAAAGTATTACTCATAAAAAGTGTCCAGCTTGTGTAACTTAATAATTGACGTGGTTTCCAGGCTTACGCGATCCTATGCTCGCCTGATGAACTGCCCAACCTATCCATTACATCAAGACCAGTCGTTTTAAATTCTTCAGCGCCTTCGAAATGGCTTTTTGTGTTGGTATCATTCCATCACCTTGCACAACCAATTCCTTTGCGTGAATTTACACACAAAGGAATTGGTTGCGTGATTCCATAGTTGAAAAATGTTCTACGCTTGCCAGTTCGGACAATTGGGAACGCAAAGGCCGACTTTGCAAAGAAGGTTCCATTCAGGACATTCAATTCACAGACTGTCGCGGATGCGACGGAGCCTGTGAGCGACCATTGCCCTGGCCTTTCCTTGCTCATCTGCTGGCGCGCAATGCTGCTTCGCCCGCCTTCGAACGGCATAGTCAGATTCCGTCGCAGGTTGTTGGAGGTTAGGCAGGAAACGCAAAGATAATTTCTGTGGGGAGTGGTGGAAGGGAAACGTCTCTCCCTGAGTCTGGACAACGGAACGCCAGCATAAGCCCGACCGCCGATCCCTCACCGTACCCGCTAGGAGGTACGGTCTCGTGAATACTCTGCGAAACGATATTGCCACAAGGAAGCAGGATTATCCAAGGGAATGACAGTATGGAGTAGCACGAGCACCGCCTCAGGACTATCAATTAGAAGAGGAGCAATGGAGTGAGTGGCGCGTGCCTATACTATTGTGTCATTATTCTTTTTGTGTGTATTCGTACGACACTCTGTGTCCTTAGGTTATATATTTTGTATGTATATATCTTCTGCATTTATATCTCATGCCATGTCGTGAGCCCTATCCATAGTATAACAAAACGTATTCCCCACTCGTGCATGTTACCGAGGGGGTTAGGTCTGGCTAATGTAAGTAGGGCCAATAGGTCGAGGTGGATAAGAGGTCGTGGCGCCGTTCCTGCAAGGCTCCTGTCATGGGGCAGGAAGTCACCAAGAAGCACCTGGTCTAACGTGGAGCTCGGCTTCTCGTAACCCGCGTTCCTCGTGACCCCAGGAGTTCTAATCTACCCGTCGTGTAGGGGCGCATAATGGATGTTGAGCAATCGATGGGCTTGTAGCTAAGGGCCGATCGTCTTCACCTGGTAAACAGATCACGATACGAACGCGGCCAGGCGTTAACGCTCTAACAGCTACGTAGGCTGCCTTTTATATTTTGAGATTTGAGAACAGAAACAAATACTATTTATAGGAAATCGTTTTGCTGCCTTTCAAAATTTTCCACATTAAGATCTATACACTTTTGCATGAGCTCGAACCAGTTTTCGAAGCACTTTTGTCACTCTGATGT